AAGCACAGGGTTTGAGTACACCCTCTTCATCTTTCTGGAGCAGAACAGCTCCAATTGCTACATCCGAGGCTGAATTAAAGCACTTATTTGTGGTAATAATAGCTTATTACTCCTGGCAGAAAAAGATGCATGCATCACAACATAGAAAAAATGAAATAAAAGTTTTAAAAAAGCATTCAAAGTCTATATTGCAAAACAGATCCAGGAAGCATATTACTAACATGGAGTTGGACCAATTGAATTCTTTGGCCATGGAATATTTTTTTTAAAAACCAGTGTAACAGATGTATTGGGAACAGGGAGAAAAACCTGGGAAATGAATGGCTTCTTGTATGAAACGTTTGCAGCAAAGTAGAATAATCTCTTTAATACGAGATTCCTCAGGAGCAAAATAGACCAATTACGAAATTAATTTTAATGTTTAGAATGCTATAAAATTTATGTACAGCTGGTGAACATATAGATGATTTTAAAAATGTAATAAATCTTCCAGAAATTTCAGATGTACAGTCAAGTGTGTTGGCTGCACACCTAACGTTATAGAAAATCTGTGACATTCTAGATATGTTATGTCAGCCCCTAGAATAGTTGGGATAACCATAGAACAGCTTAAACAAAATCAAGAAGAAAGTAGATCCTACATTTCAAACGTTTTATGAAAAGAAAGCCCTGCCAGCTTCTTACTATGAAGTTTATATCTCTGTAATTTGGAAGGCTAGTATAATAACTGTTGCCTTCAATATTGTTGCTAAGGTTTTAATAGCTATATTGGTGAGAAGATTACCGAAGGAACTACCCAGAATAAATCTTTCCGCACAATATGGTTTCATAAAAGAGCATCAAGCTTCAAATCATTTAAGACTTCTGGTTGATATAGTAGCCCTGAATGCTAATACACATGAAGTGTTAGCTTTGTTGGCTGCAGGAAAAGTTTCTAATATGGTGAAAATCAAGTTTTTGGTTCAAATGTTGCAGAAGTTTGGTTTAGAGTCCAAGATGAGAACAGAGTTTTTTTATTAGCAACCAGAATCCTCAAGTCCAAGGAGAAGACCAGGTTCCCAGAGAGGCCAGCACAGTTTAAAGAAGTACACAAAGCTGGACTGTCACAGAAAGTTGTTCCAACATGCACTTCACCCACATGGAATCATAAATGCAGAAAATTCCTAACTCCAAACAACTTGGGATCAAGAGGTCTAGCAGAGCACCTTCCCTGTTAATCACTATGAGCTTTGGTGGAGGTTCTACTGCTGGTGCCCCATACTGTGGATTGTCACCTTCCAGTCACTCTCAGACAGGGCTTCCTGATGTCCGCTCTTTTGGATGTTCCTCCCTCCTTTCTGATATTATTAAGGCACCTATTAAAGTCCCATCTTTTCATCTATGTCTTCCCTGTGTGAATGGCGGAGACAGATTTTATTTTTATTCTATTGTATTTTTTACTGTCTCACATCCATTTTCATGTATGTTTTATAGTTACAATTTAAATATGATTATTTTTCAATTTCTTTATAAAACACTTTGAGATATTCATTGGAAATGGGATATAGAGATGATAAACAAACAAATAAATAAATGTTGAAGCTATACTACTAGGAATCTTGATTTTCTGTGAGTTATAGATCCAGTATACTGGTATCTGATATTTTCAAAATGTCGCGGTTGTGTAGCTTTATAGTTATAATATGTGGTTGCTAATTTATGGTTTAAAGTCCTATTTTAGATTAAACTATAGGTTATAATCAGCTTTGAGATTATCATGAAAAGTGTACATTTGTTACAATTTGTTAAATTTATTGCTCCATAATGAACTGTAAAGGAGAATGAAAAGTCCAGTTAAGTTGCTCCTATTCCATGCTATCAATAACTTACAACCCAGGATTGTGCAACCCAGGATTCATGAGCTGCAAGCAGCAAATCTGCCCCTAATGATAGATTTCCATAGAATTGTTGATTTCACCCATCGCTATGTGACTGACACCTCAATACTTTTCCTAAGCAATTGTTGTGCTAGCAAAAGAATGATGAGAAATCCAGTGGTGAAGGCACCAGGCTAGAAAGCAGGAGGCTGTGAGTTCTAGTCCTACCTTAGGCAGGAAAGCCAGCTGGGTGACTTGGCCAGTCTCTCTCTCTCTCAGCCCAACTGGCCTCGCAGGGTGGTTGTTGTGGGGAAAAAAGGAGGAGGAAGGAATATTAGGTATGTTCGCCACCTTGAGTTATTTATAAAAATAATGAAGGCGGGATAAAAACAGTTCTAAAAAAAATCTACAGTTAGACCTCTTGCTTTTAAGCGACAAGGATGATAGAAAATAAAGTGTGGGGACTGGTTCAGATTTCAAAAAGAACGAACTTAAATTTAATCAGACTCTCCATCATATCCTCTTCCCGACTTCCATCAAACCGTCAGCAACATTAAGCAAGCTGCTGAGACTTTGGGGGGCATGGCAGCTGTGATCATTGGAGATGGAGCTGCCAATCAAAGCATGACAATGGAAAGCACCTCCTACCAGTTTATATTTCAGAGTGGGAGGAGGGAGACTGAGGAGAGAGGGCTTTGGTGGCAGGTCTGGGTGGAAGGACAGACTGAGGGCGTCTCAGGGCTCAGAGGCTTGGGGAAGCCTCCGCTAGGTCAGGGGGACTGGGCTAGGTGATTTTTAGGACCAGAGTAAATTAGCATCCAGAGGGCATAGATACTTTGTAGGAGTAGACAGAACTGGTTTTAAGTTATTTTTAAGCTATTTAATAAAAGTCAACATGTTCCTATCTTAACCAGGTGTCTGGGCTACCCTGCATCTTCCCCACATTCCACCAGTTACTTTTCCTTAGAGCAGTTTCTCAACCTCAGCAACTTTAAGATGTGTGGACTTCAACTCCCAGAATTCCCCAGACAGGCAGATAGCCAGGCTGGCTGGGGAATTCTGGGAACCGAAGTCCATGCATCTTAAAGTTGCTGAGGCTGAGAAACACTGCCTTAGAGACTTAAAGATTTTCTAAACCAGAAAGGAGGTTCAGTAGTGGCAGCAGAACAAAAGGATAATAAAGGAACTGATTCCCCCCCAACAAGGCTGCGTGTGATATAAAACAGCAGGCTATTTGTTTTAGTAAAGACATATGCAGGCATTGAGCTAGTAACACTGAGCCATAGACATAAAATCTGACACCAAGGTATTCATTGGATGTCTTCCATGACAATTGTCTCTGAGAATGACTCCCTGGGACACTATTGTCAATGACGTCTTTCAGTTCCATCTTTTCCTCTCTCTTTCGGGGTCCTTTCCGATGATGCTTTTACTGGGCAATCACTCTGCCTCCGTTAGGGACTATTACAACAGCACAGATGTGGCCATCTGCTATTTGTCATTTTCTTTTTTCTCCAACCGTATCTGTCTCTCACTCACTCTCTATAATGTTAAGGAATTGCCCATCTGGAATCTGCCTTGTTCAACAAGTACACAAGCTTGAAAGATCTATCTGAGATCATAGGGTGAAACACCACCCTACCTGGAGTTCTGGCTGTGCTCACTTTATTTTATTCTTTTGGAAAAGATTTTTCCCCCCTATATACTGTACTAAAAATACAAGATTGTTTTAAAATAGGATCATGGATCCTTTAAAATGTAACAGAGGCAGGTGACATTCCCTTTCTCCAAAATAGAAATATTACAAATCCCAACTTCTTTTCACACCCCGCTTGCAACATTTACAGCATTTCTGATGTTTCACCCCTCTCTATAGAAAGGTGAGTTCAGAAAGGACTCTTACTGTCTCCTTTTCCTCTCATGAATCCTGAGCCGAGAATGGAAATTAACTTTGCAGTTCAGGAAGAGTAAAACTGATCTAAAACTGCTTGAGTTGTTTTCTTTTCCTTTTTTGGTGACTTTCAGTCAGTTTTTGACTCCTGGCAACTACCTGGACCAGTCCCTGCAGTTTTCTTGGCAAGTTTTTTCAAAAGTGCTTTGCCATGACCTCCTTCCTACAGCCAAAAGAGAGGGACTGGCTAAGGTCCCCCAGCTGGCTTTGTGCCTAAGGTGGGACTAGAATTCAGAATCCCCCAGTTTCTAGCCTGACACCTTAACCACTACACCAGTGATGTCAAACCTTTTGCACTCAGCATGTCAGAAATTCGGAAAATGCCTAACTTGACTCTGCTGGTGTGTCATCCCCCTGCCCACTCAAACAAAAGAGAAACAATTCTTTACGTATTCATTTCTTTTTAAAAAATACAGCCCACCCAGGTGTGGCACTATGTATTATATAAAGAAATGTCAAGTCATTACAAAAATGAAACACGAGTAACACAAAGAGTTTCTTTGTAACTCAAACAGGGAGAATAGTTGTGGTCGGATGTTGGTGAATGCTGGCATGTCACCCAAAATGTCCTGGCGTGTCACCTTTGCTACCACTACACTACACCAAACTGGCTCTCTGAATAGTTTAGTAGCGGATTTTATTATATATTACAGCATAAATGGATAATACCCTTCTCCTGGACATCTTCCATCATACAGAACAATGAGAATTTGCATTGCAAAGTAATCAGTAAAAATCTAATCCCAAGTATTTATTCAGTGGCTTGGATTTCCCCACCCTTTCTGTTTCATGGGCCATTGACTTTCAGTCGCGAAAAATTACACTGACCTAGGATGCTGCTGGAGCAGAAATTTGGGGGAATGTGTGTGGCTGAAATGATTGTTCAGCTGGCCCTTGATCCCCCACATTGGCCTAAATAAAGAGAAAGTCTCAGCCGGTGCCCTGCTGCATCCTGTCACAAAACGGTCTTGAACGTTTCTCTTTCAGTTCTCGCCCAGTTGGACTTCATCAGAATTTTGATAACATACTTAAAGCAGACACAAATCAATTAGAAAGCAGGACGCAGAGCAAATTACAGTGGGAGACTTCTTCCCTTTGTTGGTTTGTTTTCTGAAGATCAAACAAATGTTAAGAATCAAGGTAATCAACCATGTGGGAAAGTGAGGGAGTTCAACAGGAATAGTGGGGCATCCCCGGGAGATTTCCCAGAAGACAGTCTCTCCCAGTCTGCATCAGCCTGGATTTTTCCAGTCCACCCTTCAAAAAGACACAGTGCTGCTTTCTTTTTTTCAAAATGGAGACAACGTAAGAAAAAGCATGGAAGTGGAAAATGTGAGTGAATAAGCCCCTGCAGTGCTGCAATAAGTGGTAATCTGAACACCGCTCGGATCATTTGGGCTTCTTTCATACTAATACTAATAGGTCATTGGCCAGTGGATCCTCCCAGCCAGGATACTGCACACATGGTCTTGGGATAGTAACAAAAATAAAAATATAACTATTTTTTTCCATGGCCCAGATAAGGGAAATCACTGAAACTTGTTTGGTTTTGGCTTGATAATAATTGCTTGATAGAAAGAAGGGTGGAAGTCATAATTATATATTTTCTTCTCTTTTCATTCTTTTTCTTTTTGTCTTTTTCTTACATTCTATCTTTTGTTGTTGTTGTTTTGGATAATTTTGCTGTATCAAAAAGTACTTAGGGCAGGGAGATGGTGAAAGAGAGACATGTTTTGCTGGCTTCTGATACCTTTTGCCTTCTGGAGCAAAAATCTGGATACCACGACTTATTTCGTATCGACTGATATTTCGACACATACTAGGGC